TCCCCCAGTGTTGCCTTAACAGACTGTCGGGGCAAGTGCTGTTAGCGAGCACCTATGAAGGCCGGCACGACAGGCGAGGGGGTGGGGGACCAACACCACGTCCAGCCGCCTTTATCTCCCTACTGGCGATGTTTACACACCGCACTAGGTACTCATTTTAGGCCGAGTCGACCTATGGGAGGCCCAGGACCGGTTCTGATAATCGTCACCGGTGGTGTTGGCCGTGAGTGCGAATCGAACTCGGGTCGTCGGGTTCGTAAGCGCTGCGCGCTAACCGCTACACCACCGCTCCCCATAAGATCAACATGCGCAAAGTTCAACATACACGCTTGGATATGGTGGCCACCGTACATGCACAAGCAGGTTGACATCAGGCTGAGGGGGTGACGACTGTGGAGGACAAGAAAATGGTTCGGCCAAATCGATCGTCGTCGTCTCGTAAATTCCACACTCCCACATCCATACTCCTCGCCTCAGCTAATCCACACTGACCAGCACGGTCAAGTTTGGTCAAACAACCCCCCTTCATTCTACAGTGAACTAAAAGTCTGCAAGAGGTAAGGGGTGCGATGTTTTGGGGCAACTCGCCGTTCTTCTCCCAGCAAGTGAATGACAGACGGGCCACATGCATCCGTGTCGTTAATAGTATCTCGTCACTGCACTAACCAAGTCATCGGCCTCCTCCCCCTCGTTTCTACTCAAAACACCGCTATCTTCCCCAAGACGTTAGCTTATACAGGGACTCCTGTAACTTACTAACATGTGACTTACGAACTTTAAGGGATAAGAACAAACCAATACGTATGCCCAGTTGCCTGTTCGGACCGAGAGGCGTAAGTTCAACCGCCGCACAACAGATGGGTGGTGTGGTGGCATCTACTTCTGCAGAACGTGAAGAACCAGTGGCATCTACATCCACAGGAGATTATATAACTTTTAAAGCCATTCCCCGTGTTTTGTGTACGCGCCGTACAACGTGTTTGGAATCGACGGGGGTAAAGTTGGACTTACGAACAAATCGACTTATGAACAGACCTCTGGAACCTAACTCGTTCGTAAGTAAAGGAGTCCTTGTACTGCACTCGACCCATCGGGGGGATTAAAAGGCGGTGTTTGCTGACGACTGCAGTGCTGTGTTTGGTCCGGTTTGTCCACCGCAGCCAATGCAGCTCCTCAGGCTTTACTCTCACGAACGTTGAACTTCTTTCGCACCGGACGTAGCCAACCGTGCTCATCGGAGGTGCGGCGGGGCAGGTCGGGGACAAACTAAAACACAAAAAGCAGTTCTAAAGAAAACAAACAACCCCCCCCCCCCCCCCCCCCCCCCCCCCCCCCCCCCCCCCCCGCTTGCTCGTTTGGCATGGATTCTACTAACTGCAACGTTGATTGCACAAGAGACCACGGGCTGCGATGCGGATATCACGGGAACACTCTGGACTTGACTATTCGGCGACCGTCTCAACTTGGTTCCTAAATCACGTCAGCTCTAGGGGACCAGGACCAGGACAAAACCGGGCGCTCATTGGAGAACCGTCTGGAGCAATGTGACTTTCGTCAGGGATGAAAATGGCCAATTTATGAGCGTTTACTTCTCTGACGTGCCACCCTCTATTGCTGGGCAGTGATCATAGTTATGAGATAGTGTGACGTCCAATATTCAGCAAACAACCTGATGCATTATAGAGGCCACTTGCCCTCGTCGCGGCAGGCAAAACGTTCGTTGAAATTCCGTAAAATGAATGACATCGTCGTTTGTTAGCATCTACATAAGAAGAAAAAGCGAAATCTCTGCACAACATGACCCCTGTACAGTTAAAGATCCGCGCGGCCCATTGCGTCGTTATATATACAGCGAGTGAAAGCAGCATTACGGTACGAGATAAGGGTGGAGAGTATATAAAGGTGTGCACAACACGTGCACCACCACTGCTCGTCTGCGCAGTAACGTCGGAACAGCGCCGCTCCGATTTTACCGTCAGAGGGATTCGCGCAGACGACACGGGGTGGGGGGAAGAGGGCTGCAGCCAATCACGGGGCGGGGTGAGCCGGGGGTGGGGCTGGGTGAGGCGAGGGAAGGGCTCCAGCCAATCACGGGGCAGGGTAAGGCGGTAGTGGGGCGGGGTGAGGTGGAGGTTGGTCGGGGTGGGTGGGGGAAGAAGGCTGCAGCCAATCACGGGCGAGGAGAGATGGGGTGGGGCTGGGCGGCATTGTCTTGTCAATGGGGGTGGTTGAGACCACCCAAGTGGACGCGTGGTGGCGCTGCAGCAGCAGCTGCACGAGGTCACAAAGTGCCCTCGCGGTGCCACGGGGAAGAAGGAGAGGGGGGGAAGAAAGTTTGCGTGGGAGATGATGATCCAACCGTACGCTTAGCCCTAACCATCGAACCATATAACCAACCCCTGCTGCCAGCCCTAACCGAGCGAGCCAGCCTCTTCATTATCTTTGCTGTGATGGCGTTCCCACGAGTACGTGCCCGCCTAGCAGCTGTGGCCAATCGGCCACAACTGTTCTATCCCAAATCAAGTATCCAACCAGTCATTAGTACTCGCCCGACTAGGGCCACTACTCTCACTTGCCAACCAGCCACGAATAACTTCCCCTACTCTCCGAGCTTGCCAGCCAACCAGCCACCAAATGTCCATAACTCTACCCTGTAACCACACCTGCCTTGTTTTCAACAGGACATTTTTTATCCTAACGTTAGCTCTGATCAATGTTCGGCATCTGACGGTGTACACGCAACACGGATGGTCGGCCAAACACCCCCCACCCCAACACAGACCTTCGTTAAAGAGCTTGGAGGTTGCCTCAAGCAAGGGGGGAGATAATTTTTAGTCCGCCACCACCACCGCCTTTTACCCGTGGCCGTGGCGTGCCCACGACGCGCCTCACCCAGGCACGTGCAGACCATCGGCGCTCGCAGTCCGCCGGGCGCAAGCCTCAATCGACCCTGCTGACACCTGAGTGGAGGACTGCGCCTTGGGGTGCGCGTCGTAGATTTGCGACGGAGTGCAGAGACGCTGGCCGCTGCTGGCTTTCCCGCCGCCTCCGCCGGCCCTGCACAGCCGTTTTTCACTTCTGGTCACCAAACATCGCGGGGGAATTTGACTTGACCCATGGTCACACCTGTCTTTCCCTCATCACTGCCTAACCTTATTACAGACCACTTCAGACCTTATTGGTCACCCCGTGCCCCTTACAAATCTCAACGTTCATCCTACAATGTCCCATCACAAGGGAGAAACACAAATAGACATGTTTTGCCCATATTCAAAAGGCTGTACGCCATATGGACCTGAAAACTCAATTTCCCCGGACACAAGAATACGGGTTAAACCGTAATGGGCTGACCGCTATGCGTCCTACACCTCAACGCTTCCTCGTCTCTGCTGGCGTCTCTCCTAGCAACGCAGATGATGAATCATAACGGGCCGCGTGGAAGTACTGAGCGCGTCCGTCTGTGCGGTGCTCGCAGGGAGAATCCCTTCGGCCGTGTGGGTTAAGGGGGGTCCCCCCACGAGGATGCTTCTGGAAACTCCCACGAGGTCCTCTTGGTTTTATATTTTTAAAAAAATCACACCCTGATGGCTTATTGTCTCAGTCGGCTCATGTTGACTGCACGTGGGCACTTCATTCTGAGGAAAATAAAAATGCAAGCAACAAAATGTAACGTGGCCCATTTTTTGTTTGTTGAAGTTGGAAAGCTTTAGTGAGATGATGTTTTACTCTAAGGTGCCAACAACGACCACCCCGGCTTGTTTTCTCTCTGGAAAATGAAACCCAATCTGGCGCCGGACTTGGCAGTGGCGCGCGCTGCAGTTTGATCAACTACGTTTCAAATCCCCGCATTTAGCACGGATGAGCAATTTTCATTGAAAGAAAGCTGAGGGAGGACATCGATTTTCGTGAACCGGAGAACGGGCACCAAACGAAACGGCAACAACAAAAACGCGGTGGCGGCACGGCCCTCGGTTGCGGCAGATCACCCACACACTTGTGGCACGCGCCGGCTGCCAAGGTGGTGGAAAGGGGGCCCAGGGGCACTCCTTTCCGTGCGAGATGGCGAGCGAGCGTGGGCATCGCGAAAACGCACACACCGCTTGAGGGACTGCGTGTTGTCTTGGTATGTGGTCTGGGACTGCGTGTTGTCTTGGTATGTGGTCTGGGACTGCGTGTTGTCTTGGTATGTGGTCTGGGACTGCGTGTTGTCTTGGTATGTGGTCTGGGGCTGCGTGTTGTCTTGGTATCTGTGTGTGGGGGAGCAGTAGTGTAGGCGTTCGTGCGCTGCGCTACGAACCCCAACGCTCCGAGTTTCGATCCCTGCTCACTGCCGACACACCAGTGAGGATTATTTAAGCCAGTCCTGAGCCTCCCTTAGGTCGACTCAGCCTTAAATCAGTAGCTGGTGTGTGATGTGTAAATATCGCCACTAGGGAGACAAAGGCGGCCGGGCGTGGTGCCGGCCACCCACCCCCTCGTGTGCCGTGTCGGCCTTCATAGGTGCTCGCTAACAGCACTTGCCCCAACAGTCTCTTAAGGCTATACGTGGGATCTTTGCCTTGGTGTGGTCTGGGACTGTTGTTGCCCAAGCTGCGAAATTGGCGTACAATTTGAACTGATACACTTGATCTATTTAACGTATTTATTTTTAGTGACTTGCCGTCCTTTCCTATACTTGATCGTTTTTTGTGTTTTTTTGTTGTTGCAAGTTTCTGACCCAGCCCCTACTGTGAAAAAAGAAGCTTCACAGCTCATCGGAATGGAGGTCTCCAGGATAAATAAAGATTCTGATGCTCGTGCACTACCAGAGGCTCGAAGAAACAACACCGGGGGGGGGGGGGGGGGCAGGGGTGGCACACGTCCCCAACGGCCCTTTGGTGGACGTGCCCCTTCGGTGAGCAGGGCGATGTTGTCCCCTTGTTCATGTAACATGGCATCCAGTTTAATGTCCACTTTAAGATGTATTTCTTTAAAAAATATATATATGAAAACGTCAATGGTTTGTAGAAGTGACACCATTTTTTTCTTCCTTGAAATGTCATCGTTAACAAACAAAAAAGTTCCAATGCATTAAACAGAAAAAATAAAGTAAATGTTTAGGAAATCAAAACAACTTAAGTGACAAATTTGAACGTTTTTGTTTCCGAAGTTGTAAAATGTCGAGCCCCTAGCAGGCCACCGGGTATCTCTCTATGGGCGCGTTCTCACACGCATTACACTGACTGACTGATTGACAGACAGACGAACGTACATACATACACACAGACCGAAAAACACAGCAACAGAAGAAACAACAGACTGACATAGAAACAAATCAACAAACAGTTACACGGACCAACCAACAGACAAACACAGGACACAACAGCCACAGAGACAGAACGGACGTACACACAGACAGAAGGAGAATGGAGATAGGACCAGGCGTCCGGACACTCGGGACGCCCGCGTTTGGCCACTGCCGGCGGGGCCCACCGAGGCACCGTCACCGCCAGGCGAAGGTTTCCGTGCCCGCAATGGCCGTGCCGCTCTGACCGTCACCAGCCGCCGCGCGCCACCACCGCCGACCGGTCGCGGCATCGGCGGCGGCGGCGACGGCGGCAGCGTCACCTGCAGCAGGCCAGCGGCCCTGCCAGCATCTTGAAGCTGCTGTCGGTCTTGGGGTCGGGCTCGGGCAGGAGGTGAGGCCCCGCCGGGGCCGAGAGAGCCACGGTGGGCTGGGCCTGCGGGGCGGTCGGCGTCACTGCTGCACCTGCGCTACGGGAAACAAAATAAATAGTTTTATTCGTTCGCCGGGGCGCGGCCGATGAACGGTGCCCCAGTGGCGGCTGTGACCGTGAGGACGTCGTTTTGCTTCCGCAACCGAAGTCTTCCTCGAAAGTTGTTTCCCCCCGCCCCACCAATGTTATCCCGACTGTGTTCTTGGTGGAATTTCACCTCTAATTACATGCTACATTATTTTAGTCGATTTCGAAAATTGCTAACAAGTCAGTTTTAAGCGAGCGATCGGACGGGTGGCCTCCGTCTTGCGTTCGACGCGCGTGCCGGACGCGAGCCCCGAGCTCGGCGGCTTAACAACAGGCCGCGCCTGCCCTCGCGAGGGCGATGGCAGGCAATGGCGACCACCTCCCACCGGGCCCGCGCCAACTACGGCGAGGGAGCAGTGCCAGCGACACTCCTCGCTCGCTCAGCCACTCAGCCCCCTCTGGCTCATGTGCCCACGTGCACACCGACCGGTGCTTTCGTGACTCAAACTTCACTGGAAACGGTCACTAGTTCCTGCCTTTCCGAACCGGTAATCGATGTGAAATACGGGGACCGGTTTACCTGCTTGGCGTTCAACTACCCCATTTAAACGCCCCATTCCCCTGTGTGTATTAATGTATGTTGACCTTCTTTCGCACCGTACATAGCCAACCGTGCTAATCAGAGGTGTGGGGAAAGGATAACAAACTAAATAAGTAAGAACATTTGATATTGCGCACTCTTATGAGTCCATCACGAATGTATGTATGTATGTTGAACGTCATTCATACCGTACGTAGCCAACCGTGCAAATTGGAGGTTCGGGGGGGTGGGGGAAGGACAAACAAACGAAACAAAGAGCAGTTCTAAAGACATTAGCGTTGATTAAAAAAAGCGCGTAGCTTCGGCGGCTTCCTAACGTCAGAAGTTAGCCGTTCCCGTCAGACTCCTCGTGAGCGGAGTCCGGGGGACACACCTGAGGCCAGCGGCTGCCTCTTGACGACGCCGTTCTTGCCGCGGTCCTCCCAGTCCAGCACCTCCTTGTAGATGAGCTCTGAGCGGGCGGGCGGAGGGGGGGGGAGACGCGACGTCAACGACGACACTCGGACGCCGCGCGCTCGCCGCCCCCTTGGCGGGGCGCGATGCTCATCGTACGAATGCAAGCTGCGTAAGCTACAGGTACAAAGTAATAATAATAATAGTTAAAATAATGTTCGACTTGCAACGGCGCCACCGCACGGTTATTCGCTCGCTTTCGTAGAGAGAGAACGAATCGGAGGTCCGAAGAACCACAGACGAGCCGGTCCGAACAATTGTCCAAGCTCTCTGGTCCTCTACATATTAACGTGGTTTATGGGTTAGATCGTGTAAATATAAACGTATCGTTAAATCCGCAACCACCGAACACAGCCAATTAGTGAGGTTTGTCACGTGAACGAAACATGGCAATTCGTTACTAGTTCAGCATACCGATGTGTTGGAGAGCAAAGCGGCAACATTTACAATTCGAGTATCATATTCTTGGTTATTTCGGTAAAGTCACGTGGAAGGGAAACAATAAAATAATAAAAATATAAAACGATATTATTTTATTGTTTCCCTTCTACGTGACTTTACTGAAAAACCCAATAATATGATTCTCTGCAGTCATGAAAGCTTTAAATCAAAATTCGAGTATTGTGACGTTTCGCGGGTAATTACAACCAGCATTATCAGGCGGCAGCCAGAGTTGTGGAGAGATCCTCCTATTTCGGTCCATCGGTCGCGAAAGCCTACGTGTTAAACTAACTTGGGTCGACAAAACGTTTGTGTATGTGCCATTTTGCGTTTGCCACATTATGTTTGTATGTCTTTGTGACACAGCAAACATCCTGTGTCACTTGGAAATCCCTTTGGAAATTAAATGTTCCATCTCAAGGGATTATCCAGGTGGAATATTTTAAATCACAATTATGCATCGATAAAAAATGAATTCTAAAGCTCACAAGAAATGTGTCGAATTACAAAAGGATCCCATAGTTTAGTGCTTGAGCATAAATGCAATATTAAAAATTTTGTTTGATATATCTGTGTCTACGAATAGAAACCTGCTCATATGTACAATTATAATCTGATAGTTTGTCAACTTTATTAAACATCCCAATTCACTCAGCACCCCACAGTGCAACGTCTAATCTCTGGATACAAGTCAGCCAATCGAATCTGTGCCCTCTCTTCCCTCTGAAAAAAGGGCGAAGCGTGAAAAATCAGCTTATTATGTATATTATTTCTGGAATAATGCAGTGTTAATAACATTTATACGGCTTTATTGAAATCGTGCTTGCACACGAATGTCAACGCGGCGGCCACAGCTATTCTTATTCCATACAAAACAAGAAATCAGCGTGACAACACACGACCCTGGATCGCACGGGCGCGTAGAGGACATGGTGCCTGCGGCCTTAATGGCGCAGAGGATCCGCAAGAGCAGATGCGCCGACTGCACAAAACACGGCACAGATGAAGCCTTCGAGATGAGCTGGTCAGTGAAGCAGCATGCGGTGTCGCACGCACGCGCGCAGGGTACGTGTGTGGTGACCGTTCGTATCCACTCGCTCGTTTGTGTCTTACAGTGTAATCGAAGTAATAGCTATCATAATAAATGCACAGCTCTTCAATAATTCACTGCTGAATTAAGTCCCTCTGCATGCTGTCAGTCATGGGGGTTGTTTGAACTTTCTCCGTCATGTTGGTGGTCAAGGGGGGGTGACCCAGGAGTGGTGGTGACCCGAATTCGATTCCAGCTCACGGTCAACACCGGCGACGATTATTTGAACCGGCCCTGGGCCTCCCCTAGGTCGACTCGGCCTAACATGGGTACCTGGTGCGGTGTGCGAACATCAACAATGGGGAGACAAAGGCGGCCGGGCGTGGTGCTGGCCACCCACACCCTTATTTGCCACACCCTGGCCTTCATAGGTGCTACTTGCTAACACTTGCCCCAACGGTCTGTTTAAGGCTACACAGGGGATCTTTGATGACCCAGGACAGGTTCAGATACCACCTGCCACCGATGTTGGCTGTGATCTTAAATTTGACCTCGGGTCATTGGGTTCACAGCGCAACGTGTTAACCACTGCGCCACCCAGATTTTAATTATCAAAGAGTAATCATAACATAGATAAAGCCACATTAGAAAAAATACAAAATAAACCATTATAATCCAAATATGAAATCAATACCACACATTCAACCATAATAATCATATCTGCTCTGACGTCACAACGCCCCCTGTCCCCGCGTGCTGTCAATTTTCCATCGACAGACGGACGAAACCCAATCAAAAGGTGGATGCGAGTGAGTGAGCGAACGGGCAGGCGGGTGGGCGAGCGCGTGGGGACGTCCACCTTTCCACTCGTCCACGGTGTGCTCGCGCTCGTCCAGGCGGCGGTCGCTGATCTGTGGCGACGGCTGCGCAGCGGACAGGAAGGGAGAGCGACGGCGACATCATCACAACGGCTCGACACCGCACGTGTGGACGCCTCTCAGCGGCGTTCGGGATGGGAGAGGCGTTTTCCCCACCCCACACCCCCCGAGAGTCGACATCAATCGGGCCCGGATTCTCATCTCTGCGCACGTTCCGTTTTGTCGGATTTTTTTTCGTGGAAATTTCTGCATTTCTTCTTCACCAGCGGTGCGGTAGAATTACAAAAATCAGCCCCCCCGCTCCTTTTCAAATGCCGTAACGAAAGAAAGAAGCGGAGTGCCAATTGCCAGGGTGGTGTGTGTCAGTCATTCTTTTTAAAATCTGAATCTGCATGCATGAATGTTGTTTGATTATCTCCAGTTAGAGCCCCTCAGCCAATGCTGGAAAGGACACATTATAATGGCAGGGGGGGTCAGTAATTCAATCAGACAACTGGTGCTGAATTCCCACAAAGTGACACAAATTTTGTTGACAGGGAGATGGTGAGTCCAATGAAGAGTCGTACGCTGTAACATGATTATTGTAGTGGCTATTAGCCAAGTAACTATTTTAATATGCATTCCCCTGCAGTAACAAACATTTGGGAGACCCAATCTTCATTTATGGTATTCTGGCGTGAGATTAGCAGGGCCTCATTTCTCAATTCACGAGTAGAGTGGAGTAGGTGGCACGTATCTAGTAGCAGTCAGTCAGCGAGAAGTATATTGGATGTGGTTTCATAGTTTAGTTTAGGATGTGGTATTGCAGGGTGTAGAAATATTCCCCAGCACTTCGATTTGGACAGCTGCGAGTCTGTGAGCATGTTCTAGAGGAGTAAGAGAACAGATTATCCTGAAGCAGAAAATTAGTGCTGGATACATTTCTAACTTTGATCATTACCTGTGTATCGATAGTGAGATGTGAATGTGCCATGTTGTTGAAGGGCGACTGCTTTGTGGATGTTGTCTTTATGTGGTCTGGGACTATTTAGTTTTTTCTGCCTTGCCCAATCTTAACAAATCGGACTTACATAATTGTATTTATTTATGATTTATATGTAGTCACTTGCTTACCATTTTCTCTACTTTGCACTCCTATTGTTGTTTGCATCATTTGCTGTTGTGACTTGCTGCCCCGCCCATACTGGACATCTGTGAAAAAGAGCTTCATAGCTCGTCGGTCAGTCTAAATAAAGAGGCTGTTTCTCAGCATGTTGTGTCGGTTTGCTCTCCTTTGAGTGCGGCTACATCGGATTAGGGCCTTCGTGCCCGTCACGCGTTGCCCGCGAGAGGGCGCTGCACGGCAAAGTTAAAGGGACGAGTTCGAAAATGTGCTGCAGTTTCCGTGGACTCATAGGCGCGGCAAACCTGAGACATGCGGGGAAGGCTGCCAATTTCTCAAGCTAAGTGGCCCTGTATTGCCATGATTGGCCAAATCCATCAACAAGTGTTTATGCACGCGCTGCAAACACACGCGGGTGCATGAACCCCCTAGGGCGTGCCCCTATGAGCGTGTCTTTCCTCCGAGGGTGCGTCACCCGATAACCCCAGGAGCCAAGCGGCTGCCAGCTCATAGATCGGTTGGCTACAGTGCGAAAGAAGTTCAACATACATCAGCGCTGCTCTCGTCCTCCTGAATAAGGAGTTAGGGGTTAAGGGTTAGGGGGTTAAGGGTTAGGGGTCAGGGGGTTAAGGGTTAGCGGTTAAGAGTTGGGGGTCATGGTTTAAGGGTTAGGGGTTAGGGGCTAGACGACGAGATCCGGAGAACGGGGTCCGTGAAGCCCACCAGCGCCGCTGCTGCTTACCCCGTTCACCTCGGCCGGGTCGTACCACACGTGGATATAGGGGTGCTGCAGGGCCTCGTCCACCGTGATCCGCTTCAGGGGGTCGATGACGAGCATGCGGGACAGCAGGTCGCGCGCCTGGCTCGCTGTTTGGGGTTGGAGGGAGACGCACACAGTAGTGGGTGGAGGAACAAAACCGCCAAACATGAACAAGTTTGGCCGGAATGGTCAACCGAAGTCAAGTTCCCGGAATGTAAATCACGAGTATGGAGTACAAATATCGATGAATATTCACTCAAGGGGAAACAAATATTCGGGAGGGGAAGGTGGCACTAATGTTCGTTTACCGCCAGCTTGATGACTCTGACGTGCCCAGCATTCATTCACCATCCGAGCATTCACGTACGTCACATAAATGTGTGGGGGGGGGGGGGGATATGGGGGGGTTGAAGGAGGGGGCGGCACCTTTGAGCTTGCTGTGCTCCGAGTCGGCGGGGAAGAGTGCGTCAGGGAAGAGCTTCTCGAAGCTGTACCCCGGGTAGCGCGGCCTCGTCTCCACGTAGTTTCGCACCGTGGGCTGCAGGCGCTTCATGAACTCGGACACGGGCGTGCCCAGCTGCTCGATCACCTTGTTCCACTGGTCGATGTCTGCGGCAGCGCACAGCTCAGGAGATCGACGCAACGGGCGACAGTAAACGATCGCGAAAGCGAGAGATTCGGCACGGCGCACGCGGGAGTGCGTCGCCGGCACCACGCCAGACCGCCTATGTCTCCCTAGCGGCGATGTTAACACACCGGACCAGGTACTCATTTGAGGCTGAGTCCACCTAGGGGAGACCCAGAACCGGTTTAGAGAATCCTCACTGGTGTCGGCCATGAGCGGGAATCGAACTCGGGTCGCCGGGTTCGTAGCGCAACCGTGCTAACCGCTATACTACTATAATATAGGTCTTTTGGGTTAGATAGCGTAAATATAAATGCGTCGTTAAACCCGCCACCACCCGACACAGTCAATTAGTAAGGTTTGTTATGTTAACAGAACATGCCAATTCGTTACTAGCACAGCACACCGGTGTGTTGAAGAGCCAAGCCACAACATTTACAATTTGAGTACGACGTTTCGCCAGTAATTACAACTAGCTTCATCAGGTGACAGACAGATTTGTGGAAAAATGCTCCCATTTCGTTCCTTAAATAGAGGGATACAGTGAGGGAAGAAAGTATTTGATCCCCTGCTGATTTTGTACGTTAGCCCACTGACAAAGAAATGATCAGTCTATAATTTAATGGTAGGTTTATTTGAACAGTGAGAGACAGAATAACAACAACAAAATCCAGAAAAACGCATGTCAAAAATGTTATAAATTGATTTGCATTTTAATGAGGGAAATAAGTATTTGACCCCCTCTTAATCAGAAAGATTTCTGGCTCCCAAGTGTATTTTATACAGGTAACGAGCTGAGATTAGGAGCATACTCTTAAAGGGAGTGCTCCTAATCTTAGCTTGTTACCTGTATAAAAGACACTGTCCACAGAAGCAATCAATCAATCAGATTCCAAACTCTCCACCATGGCCAAGACCAAAGAGCTCTCCAAGGATGTCAGGGACAAGATTGTAGACCTACACAAGGCTGGAATGGGCTACAAGGCCATTGCCAAGCAGCTTGGTGAGAAGGTGACAACAGTTGGTGCGATTATTCGCAAATGGAAGAAACATAAAAGAACTGTCAATCTCCCTCGGCCTGGGGCTCCATGCAAGATCTCACCTCGTGGAGTTGCAATGATCATGAGAACGGTGAGGAATCAGCCCAGAACTACACGGGAGGATCTTGTCAATGATCTCAAGGCAGCTGGGACCATAGTCACCAACAAAACAATTGGTAACACACTACGCCGTGAAGGACTGAAATCCTGCAGCGCTCGCAAGGTCCCCCCCTGCTCAAGAAAGCACATATACATGACTGTCTAAAGTTTGCCAATGAATATCTAAATGATTCAGAGGACAACTGGGTGAAAGTGTTGTGGTCAGATGAGACCAAAATGGAGCTCTTTGGCATCAACTCAACTGGCCGTGTTTGGAGGAGAAGGAATTCTGCCTATGACCCCAAGAACACCATCCCCACCGTCAAACATGGAGGTGGAAACATTATGCTTTGGGGGTGTTTATCTGCTAAGGGGACAGGACAACTTCACCGCATCAAAGGGAGGATGGACGGGGCCATGTACCGTCAAATCTTGGGTGAGAACCTCCTTCCCTCAGCCATGGCATTGAAAATGGGTGGTGGATGGGTATTCCAGCATGACAATGACCCAAAACACACGGCCAAGGCAACAAAGGAGTGGCTCAAAAAGAAGCACATTAAGGTCCTGGAGTGGCCTAGCCAGTCTCCAGACCTTAATCCCATAGAAAATCTGTGGAGGAAGCTTAAGGTTCGAGTTGCCAAACATCAGCCTCAAAATCTTAATGACTTGGAGAAGATCTGCAAAGAGGAGTGGGACAAAATCCCTCCTGAGATGTGTGCAAACCTGGTGGCCAACTACAAGAAACGTCTGACCTCTGTGATTGCCAACAAAGGTTTTGCCATCAAATACTAAGTCATGTTTTGCAGAGGGGTCAAATACTTATTTCCCTCATTAAAATGCAAATCAATTTATAACATTTTTGACATGCACTTTTCTGGATTTTTTTGTTGTTATTCTGTCTCTCACTGTTCAAATAAACCTACCATTAAAATTATAGACTGATCATTTCTTTGTCAGTGGGCGAACGTACAAAATCAGCAGGGGATCAAATACTTTTTTCCCTCACTGTAGATGTGATGACGCCACTTGTGAACCCTTCACGTGTGAAGGTGGGGGGGGGGGGATTAATGAGATGCATAGCAATTACAATGAGTATCCAATATCGGTTAGGTTATTCATTCCCATATAATATTGGTCGTGAAATCATACGCGCTATACTACTGCTCTCCACACATAAATGAAACACGCATACGCGACAATATGTACATACATGACACGTATGCATCTCCTGATATTTAAATGCAGGATACAGTCACGGCCGGGGAAGAGGATCTTGTGGCGCACCATCTCTCCCATGATGCACCCCACTGACCAGATGTCCACTGCACACAACATCACCCACGGCAGCAACACAATCAGCACCAACGCCACAACCAACAGCGCCGCGAAACACTCACGCCAACACCACCGCTGCCAAAAGATAAAGATTCACCGAACTGTCTTTTTGGGGAAAGTGCTGTTAGCGAGCACCTATGAAAAACTGGCTTGGCACACGAGGAGGTGGGTGGCCAACACCACGCCTGGCCACCTTTGCACAGTGCTGATGTTCACACACCACACACATCAGATAGGCATTGACAGCTGAGTTGACCTAGGGGGTGTGCAGGACCAGTTCAAATGTTCACGACTGTTTTTGGTCTTGAGTGTGAATCAAACGCAGGTCGCGTTGCCGGGTTCGCAACGCTCCCCACTACACTACCACATCTAACACCACCAACACCAATTCCTATAAAACCATCAATCACAAACTAAAGCTAAACTATTTTATATTTTACCAGCTAAGGCCCACTGAGTTATATAGCTCTTTTTCAGAAGCGACCTGGTCACAAATGATAGCTCAATGAAGTGGCTTACCATCACCGGATTTCGATTCTAAATGTGGAGGGAAAAATTGGAGGACCTGGAGAAAAATCCGCACGACCACGGGGAGAACATGCACACTCCATAATACAGCAGGTGTCCGGGTCAGGATCGAAGCCACGACCTCCTGTGTACCAGACGAGGTAGTTAACATCTCGCCACCGTGGCACCCCTACAACACCGCCAATTCCAACACTACCACCAACACTAATTCCAACACCACCACTACCGCGACACCGCAACGAGTAGCCGTGTGGTGGGATTTGGTGGCGTAGGCGTGCGGTCACGGAGTGAGGCTGGCGGCGACTGGGGACTGGGGAGGGGGTGGGGTGGGGATGGGGCGGGAGGCGGCGGCAGAGAGGTGATCGCCGTACCGTTCTCGGTGTAGCCCATGCCCAGGATGACCTCTGGCGCGCGGTAGTACCGCGTCACCACATACGGGGTCATCATGAAGCTGGTGGCGGCCGTGCGCGCCAGCCCAAAGTCCAGGATCTTGAGCGAGCAGTCAGACTTCACCACGATGTTGCTGGGCTTGAGGTCCTGTTAGGGGAGGAGGAAAGCGAAAAACATCGAACCGAAACGACCGTGAGACTTGTTCCAGGGGCTAGCGCCAGTGCTGTCCTGGCTGCCTACGCTGTTGTCCACAGGACTCGTCGTTATTGCTGTTGGTGTTGGTGTTGTGGGGCCCTGGTTGTTTTATCCCAGGTTGCACCATGGCGCTGCACTCTCTGCTCTCTCTTCCCTGGACACCGCCACCACCCACCCCCACCACGACCCCTCCAACCATCACCTTCTGCCTGAGTGTACTTATACGCGAAGCATTTAGAGATATTTAACTGTGCTCAATTTTTCAGGCATACGCATCCCTTCCACCCCACTGCGTATCCCTGACGGGCCTTGAGAGTAACCACCAGTTCCCCACGCGTTTCCCCCCCTGCGCATTGTTCCGCCGATGTGGGACGAGCGTCGGGGTGTACCCTGTGTATGATCCCGGCAGAGTGCAGGTGCTTGATACCGCACAGCATCTGGTAGAGCAGGTACGAGATCCGCTCGTGATCCAGCTCCATGCGGATCACCTGGCACAGGTTCGCGTCCATCAAGTCCATCACGAGGTACCTGGGCGGCCGCCACAACACGCGACACGGCGTCGTACGGGTGGCACGGCAGTGTACCTTCGCTTCCACGGGTGTGAGATTTGCAGGGGCTGCAACCTTTATTTATATTTTTTATTTATCAGGTAAGGCCCTCTGAGCTATACAGCTCTTTTTCAGAAGCGACCTGGCCACAAATGATAGCTCATCGCAGTGGCTTATCATGTGGAAATTAATAGCAGCCAAATACCCTAAACTCACATTGATTCTATATGTGGAGGGAAAAACCGGAGGACCCGGGGAAAAATCCACACGACCACGGGGAGCGAGACACGCGAACTCCAAATATACAGGCATCAGGGTCGGGATTGAACCCACATCCTCCTGTATACCAGGCGAGGTAGTTAACATCTCGCCAGCATGACGCTCTTTTTTTTTCGACCAGGACGGCCAACTCGAGTCGACTCGTGCTCGCGAGCGCACACAACACGGCGTTTCGCAAAAGTGGTGCAAAAGCAATAGCCGCAGTTTTTTGTTCTGAGCGCGAGCGCGAGGCAGGAGATTTCAGGGCTGTGCCATTACCATGGGCACCGGAAAAGAGGGGCGGGATTTCTCCAGGAACAAAATTGAGTCGACGGACAAATTGGGAAGGGAAAAAATCGAACGGCGGCGTTTTCAGGTTTTTCCGAGTTACCCACATGTTGGGCAGGTGCCCACCATGCATAACAGGCATCATAGGCTACGGTGCGGGTTTGTGCCCACCTGCGCACAATAATGCTAAATTAATGTAGCAACCGATAGCACGTGTGGAGTGGTGGCACGACGGTTGGCACGCGGTGACCAGATTTCGATTCCCAGTCACGGTGAACACCGTTGGCATCAAGTGATATCAGAACCCCAGTCCTGTCATCTCCCCGCCCCTTTAGCAATTTGTTCTGACCAGCGTGCTGAAGTATGGTAAGACACAAATCCATGGCCGACATGGCGTGAGGGGATGAAAAGGACCAATGAGTGGATTGGAGAATAACAGTAACCAATTTTATTTTTTATTGATATCTCAACCAAGGTTTGCAGCAAATCAGGATCAGGGTTAACTACCTCGCCAGGTATACTGGATGTCGTGGATTCGATTCGACCCTGACGCCTCAAAATTTAGAGTTTGCATGTTCTCCCTGTGGTCGAGTGGCTTTTTCTCTGTGTGCTCTGGTTTTTCTCTCCACATTTAGACTCAGCATGCATTTAGAGTATTTGGCTGCCTTCAATTTCCGTGTGATAAGCCACATCGTTGAACTGTCATTTGTGGCCAGGTCGCTTCTGAAAAAGAGCTACATAGCTCAGTGGGCCTTCCCTGGTACAAACTAAAAATAGCTTAGTTTAGTTTTAACAGCACATTTCTCAATTACAGCCGAGTTTGGCAGTGAGGTTGATGGCAGCATGTGTATAAATACATATAAAGTGGTGGCTTACACATCTTGAAAGTCCTCCTGGGATTTTTGAGGTGAGAACACGTTCAGCAGCTTAATGATCTAGAGAACACCGACCACACACACGCACACAGAGACCACACACACGCACAGGGACACCGACAGGCACATACACAGATGAAAGCCCACACGCACTCACAAGACAAAGATCCTCGTATAGGCTTAACAGACTGTTGGGGCAAGTGCTGTTAGCGAATGCCTATGAAGGCCGGCACGACACACGAGGGGGTGAGTGGCCAACACAACGCCTGGCCACCTTTGTCTCCCCAGTGGCGATGTTTACAAACCACACCAGGTACTCATTTGAGGCTGAGTCGAGATAGGGGAGGCCCAGGACCGGTTCAGATAATCGTCACCGGTGTTGGCCATGAGCGGGAATCGAACTCGGGTCGCTGGGATCGTGTCGCAGGGCTAACCACAACACTACCGCTCCCCACTCACGTACTCACACCCACAGAGATACACTCATGCACGCCGACAGACGCGCGCACACACACAGATGCACGCACACGTACTCACAGACACGGAGACACACGCCCGCACGCCGACAGACGTGCGCGCACACACACACAGATGCATGCACAGACATATTCATGCCCACGTAGACAAAACAAAGACACACAGTTACAGGCACATAAAACACATCCCGGTTACACGACCACGCATCAGTGAGACTTCAACAACGGATTAAAACATCACGGCGGGTGTGACGGAGTTCACAACTGTCCCTTGCACCCTTGTGACAGTTTCACGTGCGGCACAATAGAGACGGGCACCTCCCAAAGTCTTTAGTTGTGAAGCGAACAGCGTTAGTTGGGTTTCTTTATGAGGGTCCCTGTTTACTTTAGGCTTCAACAAGGCATGTACGCGGGCGGTCAATATGGACTTCTGGCCAGTGGGTGGCTGGCGCGTATTAACCTTGTGTGCACACCAGCTACGTGGCGATTGTACGCGTATAAGTAGAACTTCTTTCGCACCGTACGTAGCCAACTGTACTAATCTGAGGTGGGGGAAGTAATTATAAGAAATAATATTACTTAAATAGCATTGCTTTGGTTACTCCCAGTTGCATTCCTTTGTTCAAATCGCTTCCGTACTGAATTTGGGCCTGATGCAGGCCAGCCTATCTATCCATAGTAAGATTACGGTTACAATCCAGACAGTCCCGTGAAAGCTGAGTACAGCAACCCTCCTGCACACCCGTGTGTGTGTGTAGTAGGACAGCTCGGGGGACCAGGGCACCGTGTGGTGAGTGTCCACCAGAAAGATAAAGATCCCCCCTGTAGCCTTGACAGCGGGGAGTGGTAGTGGAGCAGTTAGCGTGCTGCGCTATGAACCCGGCGACCCGAATTCGCTTCTCGCTCAATGCCAACAGTAGTGACGAATATATCTGAATCGGTCCTGGGTCTCCCCTAGGTCGACTCTGCCTCAAATGAGTACGTGGTGCTGTTTGTAAACATCGCCACTAAGGAGACAAAGGTGGCTGGGCGAGCGTAGCACTGACCACCCACCCACTCGAGTGCCGTGTCGGCCTTCATGGGTGCTGCTCGCTAAACAGCACTTTCCCCAACAGTCTGTTCGGGCTATACGGGGAATCTTTGTCTTTGTGTTGTGCGGTGGGAGACGGCAGCCATGAGAGGCACGGGAGGCGACTCACATTTTTGTGGTTCACGCATTTCATGAGCACCAGCTCTCGGAAGGCGCGCTTGGCGTGCGTCTGGTTCTGAAAGGGCCGGCTCAGCTTCTTGATGGCCACATTGCGGTCGATGATGGTGTCATAGGCAGCGCTGCGAGAGAGATCAAAAAACACAACGGCACACGGCCTCAGCCACCGGGAAAAATCCCATGCGGCGTTCCAGGTAAAGCCGTGCGGCTGGGCATCTGACGTGATGAAGGAAATACAATTTTGCACGTTTTAATCGAATGTTTTATCCATAATACAGTTTTTTTTGTTTGTTCTAGATTTAAAGCTTTCGTGACTGCAAGGATCCATACTCTTTGGTTCTATTCGGTAAAGTCACGTAGGTAAAAAATAAAACAACAAAAATCACGACGTTTCGGCCACAACACAAGCGGCCTTCATCAGGTGAAGGGATCAGGCTGTCTCGAGGACAGCACTGGAGTGAAACACAGCCACGCTGTGTTTGTTCACGAGGCAATTCAGATCTACAAACACAGACACAATTTCAACCGAGAAGATGGTTTCGAATTAAGCAACCATTGCAAAGATGTTCTAAATCGAACCAAACATTAAACTAATTTTCAATGGTACAGTATATTATTCAAGTAGTGGTACCCCAAACTTTCGCAGCTCTTAAATTCCCTTTTCACACCATCAATAGGTAAACTCCCCCCCCCCCCCGCGCCAAACGGCATGTGCACCCGCACGTACACCACCTCTATGCTAAGTCGGCCAATCAAATGCTAATTTTTATGCTAATTCCTTTGTCAAGGCACCTTGTTTCCTCGCTCACAGCTTAAAGGTCTGCGGTCTGAGCGTGGCTGTGTTTCACTCCAGCGCTGTCCTCGAGACAGCCTGATCCCTTCACCTGATGAAGGCCGCTTGTGTTGTGGCCGAAACGTCGTGATTTTTGTTGTTTTATTTTTTACCTACGTGACTTTACCGAATAAAACCAAAGAGTATAGTTTTTTTTGGCTTAGATCGTGTAAATATATAAAAGTGTCATTAAACCCACCACCACCCGACACAGCCAATTAGTAAGGGGTTTGTCACGTAAACAGAACATGCCAATTCGTTACTAGTACAGCACACCGGTGTGTTGGAGAGCAAAGCCACAGCATTTACAATCTGAGTATGACGTTTACTAGTAATTACAACTAGCATCATCAGGCGACAGCCAGATTTGTGGAGAAATCCTCCCGTTTCGTTCCTTAAATAGAGGGAGAGATGTGATGACGTCACTTGTGTGCCCTTGCTCGCGAAAGCCTAAGCGTTAAACTCGAATGTTTTAGTTGAACACTTTACTTGAACGTGTAATCATACGCATGGCGACTTTGCTGCACGACTTGCGTAGGCGTGGCACCGCGCACGCTAGTCAGTGGTGGCCGTTGCAGGAGAGACCACGCGCTACGCAGCAGGAAACCAAACTCAGTCGGAGCGAGACATTTTGGTGGCCGGGGTCAAGTGCCGCCCCCTCCCCGCCCCACTGTTGCAGTGCCGGCATGGCCCGACCAACATTTTTCGGCACTTGCCGCCACTGCTCGCTTTGTTTCCAACAAATTTGGCCACAGGTTCGGGGGGCATCCCCCTCGGGATGAGCACTCGGGAGGCTGGGGGGGGGCTGGGGGGCGCTGTCTGCCCCACCGTTGCTCCAGCACGGTGTGCGTGGGCGTGTGCGGAGTGGTGGTGCAGCGGTTAGCGCGCTGTGCCACGAACCCGGCGAACAGAATTTTATTCCCTTTCACGGCCAATACCGGTGACGGTAACCTTAACCGGTCTTGGGGCTCCCTTAAGTTGACTCAGCCTTAAATGAGTAGCTGGTGCGCAATGCGTAACTGGGTGGGAATGGTGCATTTGGACGTTTTGGTGGTACACCGGTGCAGCATAACACACCGGTACTCACAAAAGTCTAAAATATTGATTTGAACTGACATTCGTCTTCTGACTACTTCGACATCACTGGCTTTGATGCACCACCCCGCAAGATTTTCTGACCGTGGTTGCGAATCGCGGCATAAATAATTATTGTGAAAAAAATCCTCTTTTTTTATACCGTGCACTGGTGTACCGCCTATACGTTCATTTGCCCCCCCAAACAGTCTGTCAAGGTGTTTTTAATGCTGTGGGCACACACAAAATTTATTTTGCCAAGATGAGGGTACTCTGCAAGCCCACTGGCTATCAGTTAAGACTCGTTCATGAAGCCATCCAGATATATAAACACAGACAAAATTTCAGCCGAGAAGATGGGTACAAACTGACCAATCATTGGAAGGACGTTGTTAACCAGTTTAGGTCATAACTGGCTGTGATGTTCCCTCCCTACCTACCTATGTTAGCAGTAATTTTCGACTCTCTGAGTTACATTCACTAACACAGCCTCCGTTAGCTGTGTTAGTAAATGGCGGCTTGCCATCCTTTTCCACCTCCATGTGGCGATGGCTCTCTCTGAGCTCTCTCCGAGCTTACATTTACAAGCAAATTTCTTACATTGACATGCTAATCTCTCACAATACAATGGCCACCCCCACAGCTTCGTTTGCCAAGATTTCTCTGATCTTACATTTACATGCAAATTTCATCTCTAGCCCCGCCTACAGACCCTTGGGCTACACCAATCCAAAACCTTTATAACCATATATTCTCAGCAGCTCTCTTGCTATATTGTTCACCTGATGACGGTTGCTTGTGTTGCGATCGAAACGTCGTGATATTGTTATTATTGTTTAATATTTGTATTATTTGTTCTATCTACGTGGCTTTACCGAAAGACCCAAAGAATATAGTCTGCCAAGGCTAAAGGGGAGATCCTTGGCTTTGTGCATCGAGGGCTCACCACACGATGCCCTGGGCCCCCGAGCCGACGGGGCGCAGGTTCTGGTAGCGCTTGCACACGGCGAAGGTGGAGTCGCCCACCTCCACGCTGTAGAAGTTCTGCGGTTCCTGCACGGGCCGCCCGCTCATGGTGAAGAAGTGACGGCCAAGGAACGCCACATCCAGCCCACTGCGGAACGCCTGCGAGCCACAAACGATGCAACGTGTCGCGACGTTCCAGCGCTACCACATCCAGGGTACCTCTCGCCGCCGTTGCTGTGGCCACAACAAAGACGGTCGCTGCGGCGCGGCGCTTTCAGACGCGCTTCTGCGGCCGTCTGGAACGCTATTGAGTTAGGCACTTTTAAATCGAGATTGAAAATTAATTTCTTTAGAGCTGCTTTTTATGTTCAGTTTGCTGTCCTTCCCACACACCTTCGATTTAGCACGGTTGGCCACGTTACGGTGCAAAAGAAGTTCAACGTACATACATACAAGCAACGTGCAGCCTGCTCGAGTCTTGCAGTGACCCAGCATGAATAATAATTGCAATAATTTTTATTCATAAGGTACCCTTAAACAATGGAATTCATACATGAATAAAGCATCCAGGGTACCTCTCGATATGGCTGTGGCTACTGGTAGTCACATGTCACCTCCTCCAGCTCTACCCGAGACCATGAAAATAATCAAACTAAAAACTAAACTATTTTTATTTTACGCTACAAGGTAAGGCCCACTGAGTAATTCAGATCGTTTTCAGAAACAAACTGGCTGCAAATGATAGCTCAACAAAGTGGCTTATTATTGTGGAAATTTATAGCAGTCAAATACTCTAAATGCATGTTGATTCTCAATGTGGAAGGGAAAACCGGAGGACACGGACAAAATCCACGCAACCACGGAGAGAATACGCAAACTCCAAATATTTAGGCTTCAGGATCGGGATGAAACCCATGACCACCTGTATACCAGGTTAGGTAGTTAGCATCTGGCCACCATGGCGGCCCAGTGAGAAATTCAGCACTGCGTCAAAGCGCCATAGGTCAATGGAAGCTCTCGTGATCAAAGCAATCAAAATTGCAATTTTTGATTTACAGGATACATTTACAAAAAAATTTCAATCTTAAACCTATGATGGTTGAAACATAACTTTTGCCCCAAAGGGTTATTGCCTGGTTTTAAATAAACTTTCGATTGGTCATATCGGTTTATGCAGGAAAAATAAATGTATCGCTGGACTCATTTTCTGACCACCTCCTTTCATTGGGACGACGTATTTCCACGTCCTTGTTTTTGGCGTAAAAAAGGCAAACCAAAGTTCCCAGAGAAAAATCACAAACATCCACAGGGTGACACTGGCACTCCGAAGAGACAGGTGCATGAACGCAATGTGTGAGAATTGGGGGGGGAGGGGGGGGGAAGTACTTCGGTTGGTCGGTCGCAACTCGCCGGGGAAATCGCAATCGCTGCGATGGGCAACTCTGCCTCCATTAAGAGCAATGCGGCGAGGACAATGGGCGCGATGGAACCGCGGAATGGCCTTGATTGGCGATTACCTGGCAGAAGGCAATTTTCACGTCCAGATCTCTTCCGTTGCGGTAGTTTAGGAGGCAGAGACTCATGAAATCCTACAAAACACAGGGAGAAAGCATGAGCTGCCGGGGGGCGGTTTTCTCTAGCCTGGGCAAGAACAAGTGGGGCCAAAGGACTTCCCACAATACCTTAACACAAATGAACCACAATGCTTTGGTGATCTCAAGGAGCATCAACCATCATGCGAACTCCGGTCATCCTCGCAGCAGTGGCTTTTGGCTAACCATCTAACAAAGATGGTCACCGCATCGCACGCTTTCAGATGCGCTTCTGCGGCCATCTGGAACGCTCTTCCGATATTAGGAAGCCACTGGAACTATGCACTTTTAAAACTATATTGAAAACTCATTTATATCAAACTGCTTTTTGTATTTTGTTTATTGTCCTTCCCCCGCACCTCCGATTAGCACAGTTGGCTACGTACGTTGTAAAAGAAGTTCAACATAAACACACACACACGATACATTCCCATTCCAAGTCGGCGGTGCGTCACGGCACGGTGTACGCGCACAGCCCCGGTTGAGTGTCGGTCGGGTCTGTCCGCGATACATTTCCACACCCGGTAACTACCACATCCAGTTTACCTCTCCTCAAATGCATCTATTTCAGCAGATTCAAACGATCTTTTTACACTACACAAACGCCCGACCTAACAACGAGCATTTGATATTCATCCGTCTTTTCCCCAACAAGATTTAAGCCTGTTTGTGACGAGGACCTGTTGTTTAGACCAGTGTGTATTGACTGCAAGGCCCACAGGACACTGGCGGCCTCTTGTGGCCTTGAGTGCGGGCTCCCTGACGTGTGGCCCCCGACAATACAGTCAAGTGAAAACATTAAAAAGCATCGTGCCATCATACCCAACGGTTTCAAATGGGTGGCCGCCCTCACACTGATGCATTACCGGCAAAAGTGCCCCCCCTCTGAAAATTAGTGACGAACACTGGTTTAGACTAACGTCCGACACTGGTGAGACTATGTCACAGAGAAGGTTGTCTCTGGTGTCGGCCAATCAGTTTCAAAGACAATGCAACATATCATTATCAGAGCATGTCTGTCTGCATGTTTTGCCAAAAGTACCTGTGGTTAATGCAGATATGATTCACACCTTTTTTTTAGTATTGCCAGTAAGGGTAAAACCTCTTCTATTTTTCTTCTTTGGTTATTTCGGTAAAGTCACGTACGAATGAGAATTCTCACGACGTGAGAATTTTATTGTGTTATTTTATTTTATTATTTCTCACGACGTGAGAATTTTATTTTATAATAATTATTATTTTATTACTTTATTCTCATTCTACGTAACTTTACCGAAAGAACCAAAGAAGATGATTACTTGCAGTCACGAAAGCTTTAAATCGAAACTCTTCTACTGTGTTACATTAGAGTCGTTGCCACGTACCTGCGTGAATTTGTGAGTGCTATCCCCTCATGTGCACGCGTTGTCTCCAGGCACTCCAGTTTCTCCAGAATTGGGTCACGCGAAATACGGGCAGAGATCCTCCTGGAAATAAAAGTCCTGGAACTCAGTCGAGGTGAGGGGGGCGTTGGTCAGGGGAGGGTTTCTTCGTGAGGAACTTTGCGGAGCAGTGGCGCCGTAGTTGGCACACCGCATGACGGGACCGAGTTCAGATGTCCGGTCACAAATTCACGGCGGTGGCGACTGATACATCTGAACCAGTCCTGGGCCAACCTCTTCGTGAAACCCGCACCGACTGGCGTGGTGAAGTATGGTCGTCCTTTCCATTCCCCCCACACGTACAGTGCGAAAAAAGTTCGACATACATACTGTACGTACAAACATCTCCCACGGCCGATACAGTGTGGGGGGGGGGGGGGGAAGGCCTTCATCCAGCAGCAGAAAGGTCCTCAACACGTAAACGTATTTTATTATCTGCCCCCCCTTACCCCCAATCTACCCTTCGAATGTTTGTTATCTCATCCCATTCCCTCCGTCTCCCCCCATGTATATTTAAGCCCTCCCCCCCCGACCTAAGGTCCCCACAAGGTTGGGGCATCGAGCCTTAACCGCTCCCCCACACAAGCACGCCTCTGAAGTGCCGATAGCCCCCCACCCACCCCGTGCCTCCACGCCCGACACTCCTCGTGGGTTTTTGACACAGTGAAAAAAAGTCTTCAGAAATCATTAATTTTCTTATCAATGTATTGTCCGTGACCAAAATAATCGGAAATATGCCCATTCTCATCAGATCTTGGAAGCTAAGCAGGTTGGAACCTGGATAGTGTTCAGACGGGCGACCAGCTCGCATAAGAGGCGTTATAGAGCTGCTTCGGGGCCACGTTGTGTACAGGAGAGAGCAGTGCAGAAACAAAAACTCTGTTGAACTGTACTTCTATGCTCACCGCCGTCACAAACCAACTTCACCTACCCCCTGGGATAAATCATCTTGGTAAAGTATGGTCCAATAACTACCCACACGACACTGCGGTGAGGCTCTCATCCAGCAGTGGATTGACAAAGGGCTGTGACATTAATTGTATGTATATGATTGTGCTAGCTTTATCGGTCACCGCGTGAATATGATTTAAGGGCTGCGTGTGAGCCGTTTAGGGAGATGACAAAATGCATCGTTGTTTCGGTGCACGTGTGCGGCTAAAATTCAGAAAGTTGGCACAGTGGGGGGTACAGCGGTGGTGTATCTACTGGTCATCTCAGTCAGTCAACCTATGGCACCTGGGTCTGTCCCGAGACCTCCTGCCAGCGAGCCTTCGACACTTCACGTGGCAGCCTCAAAGTGCACCTAGCCTGGCGTTACCGTCACCTAGTGGCGAATGGCGAGGATTGGTATTTGTGCATACACACGAATATCTAAATACTAATATAGCCAGCCAGGTGATGTAACGGTCCAGCGATCTCACCTCAGCATCTGGGTATTGCCGGTTATTAGTGCGAGGGTCATTTGTCATAGGCATTCGCGAGGCACGGCGTGCTTCCTCCTGAATGCTAAACGGCCCCGCGAGGGCTGAGTGGAAAGGAGGGCCCCCATTGTGTGTCACGTCCAAATTATGAATCCACATCAGTCGTTGAAACGAGCGCCATAACAAAACAAGACGTCGCTGGCTGTATAACAATGGGCTTCGCGGGACGGACACACACACAGAGCATTGGGCTGGGGGGGGGGTGATGGGGTAATTTTCTTTATTTTCGAACAATAAGAACCACTGCGGCCGAGTGGGATTCCGTGGCTCTGCTGCTGCTGTACAGCTCTCCAACGTGTTTCTTTGGTTTTGGGTTGTAAGCTCTTGAGCCCGACGCGGGGAGGGGGGGGGGCGAAACGTCAGACGCCGTGCCAAAAACAAGCGGCCAAAAAAGCACACCTGAAAGCCACACAGCTCAACCGTCCACACACCATTAGATCGTGTGCCCCCCCCCACCCCATTACACCAACTAATTTTTTATGTAATTTTGGGAGTCAAAGGACCGCCCAACCACTACACACCCCCAGCGCCCCCCCTACCCCCCAAAAAATGTGTTGAAAAGTGTTTCATAGAATTTAATGTGTGAGTCGTTTAAATCACATCAGGTCACACCACACGAGTAGGAACGATGCACGAGAGGGTTAAGATGGTAGGAGGACAAACGAATGCACGTACACACGTACAAAAGACAAAGATCCCCCGCATAGCCTTAACAGACTTTTGGGGCAAGTGCGTTTAGCGAACAGGACCTATGAAGGCCGGCACGGCGCACGAGGTACTCATTTGAGGCTGAGTCAACCTAGGGGAGGCCCAGCACTGGGTTCAGATAATCGACACACGTAGACACACACAGTGGCGTCTACGCAAAGCACAGGCTAGCCAAGCAAAGGCGAATGGCCCCAATTAGCTAAAGGCCCTTATCCCCCTTTAACCCCCGACTACCCCCATAATTAGAGAAAATATAAGGATGCATCGAATGTGAATCTCAAATCCTAATACACACAAGAGGCCAACTGCCAGGCGAAACAAACATTTAACGTCTCATCTCTCTGCTGTGCGTATCCATCTTATATCACTCACCATTTCACAGCATCTCTGTGTTTGTCCACATTCCTCTTATCTCACGACACACATCTCTGTCTGTCTGTATCTCTTTTGTATTTTCACTGGGTATTTCATTTATTTTAAGGGATCCGAAAAATAATTTCTGCAGAGGACATCCCCCCTCCCCGGCCCACCAGCCACTGAGTACGCATCAAAGACAAAGATCCCCCATATAGCCTTAACAGGCGTTTGGGGACAAGTGCTGTTTAGCGAGCACCTATGAAGACCGGCACGGCATATGAGGAGGTGGGTGGCCAGCACCCCACCCGGCCGCATTTTTCACCCCAGTGGCGATGTTTACACATCGCACCAGGTACTTATTTACGGCTGAGTCGATCTAGGCGAGAAACGGGACCGGTTCAGATAATTCGGTGGTGGCCATGAACAGGAATCGATCGCCGGGTCGCCGGGTCGCCGGGTTCGTCCCGCTGCGCGCTAACGGCTGCACCACCGCTCCCCGCTGGGTTCAGCATCACCGCCGCGCGCGCTCGCAGACGCACACAGGTCAATACATAAATCACAAGCATTTGAAAAGCACACACACAGACACACTCCACCATACGCACCACCTCAAAGCATCGGCATCGTTGTGCCCAAACACACCATCACCATTAATGAGCACAAACCGGCCTCGATGTAGATTGATGTTTGCCAGATGTTTGATATTGATATTATTAATTTGGCTTCTTCCTGATGTCTTTCGTTCACACTGTGGGCTCTCCGTGTTTGCATTGGAAGCGTGAACAAAGATGGTATTGCATGCGCATCGCCACCACCGTCATCATCATTATCATCAATTAGCCACGATCAATCCACTGCTGAATGAAGGCCTCCCCCCAAGCTTTGCTTTTGCGGAAACAATAAGTGCCATAGGCAGGCTTTTCCTGCTGGGTTAACTGTCAATGTGTAGATTGTTTTGTTTGTTATACACCGCACATACAATGTATAGCGTTGACACACGCGCGCGGAATGCCCTTTATCAATCCACTGCTGGATGATTGCGTCTCTCCAAGTCATATGCCCGTCACGGGAGTCGTTTGAATATGGGCCAACCCATGCAGGGATCAGAGAGACGCGTGAACGAACGTGGCATGGTATCGCACCGTAGAACAATGGCTGTTGCTGTACTAGCCACGCCGCCCCTGCAGCCGACAGCAACCCTCCGTGCATCCTATTCACCTATGCGGACGTGAACCAGGCTCAGCCATGCTTATCTTCCAAAATCTGCCCAGATTTAGACTGCTGGAGCAAAGCGCTGTTAGCGAGCACCTATTAAGGCCGGCACGGGCATACGAGATAGGGCAGGGTGGACAGCACCACGCCCGGCCGCCTTTGTCTCCCCGTGCCGATGTTTACAAAACGGCCAAGGTGCCCATTCAAATATCAGCCGCTGTTGTTAATCGAGAGCAGGAATCGAATTCAGGTGGCCCGGTTCGTAGCGCAGTGCGCTAACCACTGCGTCACCGCTCCCCTATATGATGCAGGATGAGGTGCTCACTAACAGCACTTGCCCCAACAGTCTGTTAAGGCTACAAGGGGGATACGTGTCTTTGTCTTATACAGGCTATACACATCCACACATACAATTGTGACTTACAAGACATCAATTCAAGTTGTATGTCGATTAATGTTGGCTTTAAGATATTCGTAAGAGACACATCAAGAAACCAGTTTTAACATTAAATATATACTTGATTCTGAATGTACCGCCAGCAGAGGGCAGTTCAGCAACATTATTGTTGTACTTTACTCCGCTCCAACATCTATGGCTCTCCCCGTCACCAACCCACATTGACCGAAGTGATTTATTGTTTAATAACCCTCACGATCCGCAGTGGATTGACAAAAGGCATGGACGTGTACAACTAAAAGAACACATCTCGGTATCCAGCACTAATCTGGGATGATGTTGGCACGTCCATTCACTAAGCCACGTCAGTCCGTTGCACAGCTATTTGTTTGACAATGTAAACAACAGCAGCTACGATCAATCCACCGCTAGACGAAATATTCGCACCGATCGGGTCGCCATCTCTTAATGAATGATCTCTCTCTAACCAAATCATATTTCTCGCTCAATTCGCGTTAAAACTCACGCAGCCGGCGTGTCCGAGATGAGGGAAGATTTTAACACAGCTCGGCGAGAAGACCAAAGTGGGAGGTTTCACGTCAAGGGATGATGGTGGTGGTGATGCAGGCCAATGTGACAGCCGAGGCATGGAACGTGCCGAGACGTCGCTCACAACTCGGATGGGGTGACGGAATCATCAGCTGGTTTTGCAGGCGGGGTGCTAGCCAGGTCTTGTTACATGTATGTTGAACTTCTTTCGCACCGTACGTAGCCAACCGTGCTAATCGGAGGTGGAGGGAGCACGACAAACTAAACACAACAAAGCACGAGAGATGGCGACTATTTTGGGGGGAGGTTTCCATCCAGCAGTGGAATTATCATGGCCGATTATGGTAATTGTGGAAGTAGACAAAACGGCCTTAATCCAAAGCGTCAGTCACCCCGGCTGTTGTTATACCCCGCCGTGTAAACCGCTCATGTCATTATTCCCGGTGGCTTCATCTCATTGTAATTTCAACATCAACAATTATATTTGTGGAGGATTTACTTGCCGTCTCACGCGACTGTAACAATGGGCCACACCAGTGCCATCGTCATAATCACTCATTCGCTACGACCAATCCACTGCTGAATGAAAGTATCCCCAAGCTGTCGCCTCCACCAAGCCGATCTCATAATCTTCAGCCATTGTTGGCCATGGTTAGTCCACTGCTGGATGAATGATTCCGCCAAGGCGTCGATATCTCTCACCGTGGCCCCGTGATGTAATTATTAATCCCCCCCACCGCCACCCCACCGCCACCCCACCACCACCACCCTCCCCCCACCGTCACCCCCCACCACCACCCTCCCCCCACCCGTCACCCCCCCCACCACCCCCCCCCACCACCACCCCCACCACCACCTCCCCCCACCACCCCCCCCACCGCCACCCCCCCACCACACCCCCCCACCACCACCCCCCCACCACCACCCCCCCACCACCACCCCCCCCACCACCACCCCACCACCCCCCCCGCCACCACCACCCCGCCACCACCCCCCCCCACCACCACCCCCCCCCACCCCCCCCACCATCACCCCCACCGTCACCCCCCCACCACCACCCTCCCACCACCACCTCCCCACCACCACCTCAGCACCACCACCACCTCAGCACCTGCATACGAGTTTATTCCATCGCTTCGTCTCCAATCGGCGGATGCCCTTCTCGGTCCTACCCGGTGCCAATAACGTCAAGAGGTCTCGCATTTGAAACCTGGCACGATCAGCAATCAGCCCAAGGATGAGCGGATGCCCCTTCTCGCTCGTGACTGGCATTGTCACCATTGCCTGGCATCGGCGGTGGGCGCGGCAGGGGCTCCCAACACACACGAATCCCACTGCTTGTAAATACAACTCACTGGAGACACACTGGAGGCCTCTGCAATTCAACATCACTTCCTTGCCCACCGCTCTCCATCTCTCCTTCTCCCCTGCCCCACCCCGACCGACGGAGCCTCCATTTCGTCGACGTTAAAAAACACAATCAGCACAAAGGCTCTGCGCTCATTGCGATTCAGGGAGGGATGAGAGGCTCCAGTTGCCAATTGGGTGGCGGTGTTCATTTTTTTTCCCCTCCCCATCCCATAATCGGCGTATTTAATAAAAAAAAATTTTAATTGTACACCGTAATAAATAAACAGATGACAGATTACTCACCCGAAATCTACTGGAGCTGCAGCCGCGTCTTTGCCGATTGTTGACGAGAGGAAGCGAGAAGAAAGCGTGAACCTTTGTGGATCCACGGTGAATCTTTGGTTGGGGAATATTTCGTCAAGCGAGCGGTGCTCTCAAGCCGGCTGGGTGGATGGAGCCGCCTTCTCCTCCTCGTCCACACGATGGTAGGGTCCACTGCTCCTCCTCCTCCCCATCCACTCCACACAACCCCCCCCCCATCACCATCGTTGAGATGGAATGGTCTGCAGTAGCCTCCCCTGCAACGAGATGCAATTGCTATGGCAACCAGCTGCCTGGATTTGGTAGAGTGGGGGTGTGAGGGATTGGGTTGGTGGGTGGGGAGTGGAAGCAGGAAGTCACGATAAATGCCCCCTGGGAGGTTAAGGCTGTTAGGTTTGTATTATTTTATTTGGGGGGCGCCACTAGTTATTTCCATTGGACGGGGAAGGATGGACGGAATAACTGATTTGATGTACACCATTTATTCCGATGCTTGGAATGCTCGGAAAAAATGACAAAGATATCCTGGGCTCACAGCAAGCTTGCAGATAAAGAGTGGAGGACGAAGGATGGAATGCAATTATTGCGTACTGCCCAAAGGCCATGTGCAGCTTGAAAGTAATGAATGCTTGAAAAATATATAACAACCTTGAAACGCTTCTCCGACACAAAAGGTCGCAACATATTTTAGCCGGACAGTCCCCACTTCACCCAAGGGACCAGAGTGAATCGGGGATTCTGATATTATGCCTCAAAAGAACAAGACCGCTCTCTAAAAAATATTATAAAGCCAAATAAAGAATCACTCAGAAAGACGAGTGCTAATATAAAAATGGTATCAAAAACACTAAAGACTAGCTGGGTGTGATAAATAGTGAATTTCACAATTTACCATTTCCAATTGAAACTCGAGCTTGTACTAAACAATTGTGGGACTCTTAAATGCATTTTCTGCAATTACAGCTGTTAAACTACATTAGTCTCACGGGAATGTATGTTACAAGTATCGTAATGTCTCAGGTTTGTCAATTCAAGTTCTCTGATGTAGCGCGGATCTTATTTCACTGCAATTTGTTTTGCCCTGACCATCTTCCAAGAACATTCCCGTTACAACCCCCAGGTAAATGACAATACCGCATAGCAACTGTAAAAACCTTAAGGTCCGTCAACTCAAGATGGAAGACGTAGAAATGAGTGTCATCCAACATTCATTGGTATCAATACAGCCCAGCATGCGGCAAGCACACTTGCCACCAATCCGGTTTATACATTTCACGCTGCATTCCCACATCGCAACACAAATTAACTGTCAACCTGCTGCAATGTGTACATGAAAAGGGACACGGGACGCTTCTCTCCCAGCGTTGTAGTTATATTATGTAAAAATATGCGAACCGCTGATTTTCCAAGGGTTTCCTTTAAAATGTAAGACCTCTTATTCCAGTGGTTCTTAACCTTTAATGCAGCCTGCACCCCTTTGGTTCTCAATCATAATATTTTTTTATAAATACATAGGGTTTTATTAAACAAAGTAGTTGTACTTACGTGCCCGTGCTTAAGTTTCGATTATTCAATTTCTAAAACAATCTGGCCATGTTGCGCACCAAGGAAGGGCGCTACGTCCAAAGTGTCCATCAATCTGTACATCAGGCATATAAGATGGAAACCATATATTTTCAGCCTGCAAGTTGAGTATACTTTTTAACCAGTCTTAGTCTAATGAAAAGGTTCTTTGTTTACCGAAGAAAACCTCACGAGTCTCAATGATTCTTTAATAAATCCTGAATTAGGATGTTTGGTTAATAATGCACCAGTCACGTTAAGCATTTGTGAGGAAACCGGAAGCACCCAAATCAAACTCCACACACAAGGGGGTAAACATAGCAAGTTCTACACACGGTATATTTGCAACCCAAACCGACTACAATTATTCCTAAGCAGTGACACCTCCAACACGATCCAGGCTTAACCTAGGGCTCTGATCCGAGTACATAAACAGGTGATGTGTAAACGAAAGTGTAATGTCATGTAGATTTTATAGAAATATTGACAGCAGGACCGTACTTGAGACTCCAAACCAAATTTCGAAGGTGAACCATGACCAACTCAATCTCCACTCGGACTGAAATGCACCCAGAATTAACATCAACTCTCGTCCACGACACATCGAATCACCGGGATGGGGTAGATCAGTGTTCTTCACCTGGGGTTCACGCACCCTCTGTGGGTGCAAAATGCCCTTTCTGGAGGTGCGAGACATGGCCAAATTTTTGTTAGGTAAATCGAAACACAAATTAAGCACGGGCACGTGAGCACAAACTACTTTGTTTCATTAAAACCAACGTATTTATTAGCACTCTACTTGTTCTAACGGTTGAGAACCACACGAGTGCAAGGCTGCCGTGCAGGTTAAGAACACTGCGGTAGATCTATGCACCTTTGACATGCAGACATAACACTGTAATGCTCAAAATATTTTTGTTTTACATTTCATTGCCATCAATGTTATCTTTAAAATTGGACAGAATATTGGCATCTAGATATCGAATGATACCACCATGTCATAGGTGATGGAATACAAAATTGCAAAGTGTTCTGATCAGCGCGAGGTTGTCAATTTAAGTTCAGACCTTGATCGTGCCAATTAGCCTGTACATCTTCAATCCACGTTTTCAGTGCAATGGTACCAGCACACCATACTGCATGCAATCAGGATTCATTCACTAAACCATTGACCTTCAAGTGTCATATCACAAAAACAAATCAACATTGTACCCAAATGTGGCAATTATGACCAAAACTTTTAAACGTTTGGTATTGAAAAATTACCTTTATGGTATTGGCAGGTTGTGCAATCAGAAACATATGTACAAAAAATACTCACTTCAACACCTTTTAATATACACATTGCCCTTCTGTTGTTTCTCTTCAGGCCCTTTGTCCTCAACTCTGCTCTGCCATACATTTTGACTGCAATTACGGAGGTTTCATTCAAGCTTTGATTTAAAATTTAAACAAATGTTGAAGAAACTCCTACCTCGTGACCGCATCCCAATTCAGCATCGTGTCACGCCCAGTAGTGCATGTCCATTGGTCCTGTCGCTCTCCAACTTAGCAGAGCCATCAATGAACACATGTGCCGAAACGCAGACAGAACTATCATTCTCACAAACACATTTGGGGTGCTTTTATTCACTAATTTGCCTCTTGAGGGTGCTTAATATCATTTGGAGGGTTTTAAAAATACCAGAAGGCAACGAACATTTTCAGCTTGAGGGCAAAACATTTTTGTAGGGAGCTGTAAAGCCTGTGTCCAAAGTGCCCATAAATCTGTACATCAGGCATGCAAGATGGAACGATATATTTTTCAGCCAGGAAGTTGTATATTTTTTTCCCCAACGCCTTTGCGAGGCAGTTAAATGCTGGTTGAATTCAGGAAACAATGTCAGCATGGCTGTGTTTACTGTTTTTGAGAACATGAGCAGATATTCTAGTTAAGATGTAATCTGTTTAATAGGGACATGTACAATCACAACACACTGGGTCAACAGTGAGCGCTAAGACCCCTTTCACTGGGGAAAGACAGCTAAGCTGTCCCGAGGCTAAAAACAACAAAAGAATGGAGAGCTCAATTCTCCCAGCTAAGGCAGCATACAAATCTGGCAACAAAGATTAAAAAAACACACAAATTACACCAATGTGAAGTCCAAGGGGTTTATTTTTTCAAAACATCACGTTAACCGGTCTGCATTTCACTTGGGCTTCTGGGTCTGGGCCTTCAGCACCTTGACAACGATCTTCTGTTCCTCAATCAGGAAGGCGCGCTTGATTCTGTAACAAAGAAAAACACGGTTACAATCGAGCATATTAAGGAAGCTCTAGAAATAATGCGAGACTTTTGTCTCATTTGGGCTCCCACCTGGATATACAGATGGTGCATTTATGTATTTATGAATAGCCATTTGTCAACCCACTGCTGGATGAGGGCCTCCCCACACCGTGCAGACAATCGTTCATACCATACTTCACCACGTTGGTCAGTGTGGGTTGTTGAAAGCGGAGGGAGGGGTGGGCATTGACGTTGGCAAAGCTAAAGCACAGCAAGTACAATAATAAATGTGCTGCCACTGCCCTATGCTGCCAACCACTCGTCCTGAAGCATATAACACCCGTCATTTATGGTGGTAACCAATTTAAGCACGAAATACAGGCTCTGAGATCTTTAGAAATCCGGCACATTCCAAGTGATTTGATTATCGGGATGCATGTGCAATATGTAAATAGTTTACAAAATGTGGGCAAATCCACACTCTTGACTCAACTCAAGATATCTGGAGACTAATTAACAAAGTATTAATTATTTACAGCTCAACATGTGTATTATGAATTATTCATAGCTGAGTGGTGCAAGGCTACTAAGAATGTAATCATGAACAGAATCGGAGCTTAATACTATGGACTGCGAGTCCAGTCTAGTATCTAAAGTGTGACAGTGGAAATGAACATTTCCGATTACTCAATCAACTGCAACATTTCATACTTTTAGCTGACAATATCCAACATTGTGGGAAAGTAATCTACATGATCAACGACGGTAAGGTACAAGGACCTTCAAATTGTAAGAAATTCCACTACAAGACTTAAAAGGGAATTATCAACGCTTCAAAGCATCGCCAAATTCAGTACGTGCAGGCGGGTACTTCCATTATGCGTCAAATTTATTTTCTAGCTTTTGACATCACGTTGCCAGATGGCGGGGTTTCTAGCTTGCCAAACTCAGCACCGCATGGCTAAGAACAGCCTTCATTAAATTTCCATTTCACTAAGAGGCCCCCGTCGCAAACCCGCCAAACGTTAAAGTCGGCGCGGTTTAGAACACAACATCCGTGTTCACAGTTCGATAATGCTACAACGCATGACCGATTGGTTTTTAAATGTTATCGTAATTATTTGAATTCATACTTCAAACGGTCTTTTAAAAGGCTTGTTTCTAGCAGCTGCCAGATAAGGTCAATGAATTTAGTACTTAAGCGTATGCGATAAGCTCCAAAAATAATTTTTAAATGACTTGGACGGTGTACATTTCCGTAATTAAATTGAGTGCTACAGTGCGACGGGGGTAACACTCCCCCGTGAATTATTGAAATTGCACATGCTATCTTTTTTTTACAGAATCCATGCAATTTTATGTGATTAATCCTTACAAAAGGATATTTTAAAAAAGCTATTTATTTGGAAACGCTCCACTTGGCATTAATAGATTGGGCTTCTTTTTGTTGAGGGTTTATTTTCCAAAACTAGTCCAAATACAGGGGTTTACAATCCAGAGCCGATCGATGGCAGAGTATTCAGTTTTGGCCCTTGTGATGAAAACAGACCATTTTGCCAACACCAACAAGGATAACTTTAAATCAACATTTTGTGAATCTATTTCAGCACAAGCTTTATGTATTTGGATGCAGATTAACGTTGACAAATATTTGAATCCACTCGCAATTTTCATTTCCTCACTGTAAATTCAACTTAAAAAACGAACCTCTTCATGGAGTCTAAGCGACCGTTAAAACCTAATTAACGAATACAGAATTAACCAAGCTTGCCAAATTCCATGGGACAATGGTTATTTTTTAGTGTCACCTTCATGACTCTGTTACGGAATTATTGCCAATATGCAGGTTAATAAATGAAAAACACGTCACTAAGAGTATTTAGTGTTCCTGACGTTTTTAAAAGGCACAATATGAGCAGTTAAGTACATCTATAACCAGTTGCCATTGGTGTACATTGTCAGAAATTGTATGCAGTCTATGGGTACTGCGCTTACCACCACAATAATTTGAGCAAAGCACAAGACGAAAACATGGGTTTAAAACCACATTCCAGTGTTTATTTCGGAAGTCCTAAGCCTATCCAGAAAATGAGAAAGTGTTAAAGAAGACGAAATAGGTTTTCAAGACATCATAGGGTAGGAAAATGTTAATAATTGAAGCATACACAACTGAGATGGGGGGTAAAGCAGCAGTAGAGGTTTGTGCACTGAATGCGATTTCATAAATAGCTAACAGCAGTGGCAAGTGATATCTGAACAGGTGCTAGACTCCCTTGGCCCACTGCACCGACCTGTACGGTCAAAGCAACACCCATTATTTAAAATAATGGAGAGGCCTTCATCCAGCAGTGGATAGAAAGAGCTGCACATACTATGCAAACATATCCTTGGGAAAGGGGCAAGATGCAAAAAACCACAGCAATTAATCAGTCTATTCATTTGTACTGGCTGGAGGAATCCCGATGGGCTATAAAGTGATTTTTCACAAATGTCCAGTAGTTCAGTTGTCCCCAGGAGTTGGTACAGTTCTTGCAGCCGCAAGGCGACATTTACCTGTCACGGACGCACTTGGCGCACATGGAGCCTCCGTAAGCCCTGGAAACGTGCTTCTTGGTCTTTGACAACCTCTTTAGCACGGCCGGCCTCACTGCCTTCACCTACAGATGTACACGTCAGCATCAACAACAGGCCAAGTATCAGCAACAGGCCAAGTAAATGACACCAACCCCATCATGGGACCACAAATGGTAACGGAGCAGTGCCCCCCATTGTAATAAACTGGCAATGGCATTAATTATGATTTTATCAGCCATTTTTTTCATGACCAGAGCTTCCAATGGATGTGATTTTGAATATTGCCACTTGGAATATTGAACAGCATGGCACAAGTCCAAATATAAACTAACATTTTTTTAAGTTGGATATGCCAATTTCAGTACATGTAATGCGATTAAGTTGATTAGGCCATGGAAACACCTGTCCTGAAATTACAAAAATACTTTCACAGCTGAATTTTTAAAAAATCAATTTTCGTCATCCAACAAGTGCAAAGTTTATGCTGTCATTTTACATTTATCCACATAAGAAATGCACTCGCAGTACTTGGCAATTGACACAAAATGCTTTTGCTACTCATGTTCACAGCCAAATTTTCTCAAAATTAAGTGTGTAGTGTCCAACATTACCCTCCGCAGGCGAGCAACACGACTGCTATTTAAACGCGTCACAACTCAGCTTAATGCAGCCACGAAGCATTTCCGTAATGAGTCAAGTGCCTGTGCCCTAATAGCGAAAGGCTTTCCACCCAAAAGCCATCAATGTACAAAGGCCCATTTACAGAACTTTTCTGACCCAATGATTTAATAGCACCAACAGTTGTCCAATGTCTACGTCACAGAACACAAAACACTACAACCAACAGTAGACTCAAACTGCAGAGAATGCGGCTAGGACCTGTTCTAAATACAACTTTAAATTAATGAAATTGTCAGCACGATACTTTAAAGTGCATTTGACAATGCAGTGTTGCCTGCAAAGAAACAAATGGCACATAATAGAAAAATGTACATCTGTAGCCAAGGAATATGGGGAAGCCCTCAAGCGAACAAGGGTTAATAGGTCAACGTGGCACTATTTGAAAGCGAGCACCAAAATTTATGGCAAACCCTGCGACAAACAACCCCACGTGAAACAAATATTCACGATGCGAAACCTAATATTGCCATGTCATGCGTTTGGGATTTTTGTCGCCGCATTTAAGCAAGATGAATTTTGTGCGTCAAAACGGGTAGCAAGCTTAGCACACCGCTTTACACACACATCAAGAGCAATCTATGAAAAATGGCAGGTACAGGTGCAACTCCTTACTCCACGCAGCCGGCCGGGGCAAAGTCCACACGCAGACTTGGGGGCCTTGCCAACCTTCTTCATGTACAGGTACACCAGCCGGCCACCGGGGGTCTTTGACCTGTACCACAAAATACAATCACAGTGCGATTGTAAATTTACATTGTAGTATGGGGCACACATCTCACCAACATATTTGTGTACTTAGCCAAGTAAACCACTTTTGAAGCTGCCCTTCCCCCAAAACGTTTTAGAGCAGACCATATTCTATGCAACCCGTATTCAGTAACTTTCAAGTTGCCTTCTCTACCCCACATGACTTGCCCCTCAAAATCTTAAAAATAATTACTATGAGCATGGTACACATCATGCTAGGCCTATGCCTGTAGAAGTTGTCCTGAAATTGCCCAATGCATGGCTGGCACATGTTATAATTCAATTTCAGTGGACTGACCTGGGTAGATCACCAAGCATTGAAGACAAATAATATTTGTATTACCACTTTTTTTTTCTTAATTTACATTACTAAACCATGTAAATAATGCATCTGTGTGTGGCACTTGGAAGCGCTCATCTCTAATGGTAGTCCAAAATAATTGGTGAAAACGATACGCATTCCTGCAGGAGGGTCATGATTGAGTCCATTAACCTTGGCCCACATTTTGATTCGTAATAAGAACCAAGCTACTACACATTTAACTAAAAACCGTTGAAACACACCAAGTAAACGTCCCATACTGCAAGTGTTCGAGTCAAGCGGTCCACAGGTGTGGACCAAAGGGAGGTGAGAGGGGAGCCACTCACAGCCTCGTTTTGTTGGAGGCCGTGTTGTAGGACAGCCTACGGCGGTAAGTGAGGCGCTGCACCATCTTG